GTTAGCACTCAGGACCTCACAGTGAAGCAGGTGGAGGGGTAAAAGGGTATGAAGGGAGAAGCAGAGGTGTGAGGAGGTCTCGTGAATGGGCACTCACATCTGGATTATCCTGTGAAATCAGCAATCCCTTTGGCACAGTTTCAGTCACAGTTTCTGTCCTGCAGCAGAGTCACTATGCTGCTAGGCAGTCACACCAGCCTGTGCACATGTAACTCAAGGTCACAGACATGACTTCAGGACTGCAGAACATGAAGTCAGTCTCAGCATCCCAGAGAACATTAACTGGAATTCAAATCCTAACAACAGGGAGGAAGAGTCGTTTTGAGGAGCAAAAGCTCAAGTGCTCAGCAGCTAATTCATTGCTACCACACATTTCCCAGGCACACCCCAATCAGCTCAGTATGTTATTTAGACCACAGTCAATTAAAATTTTAAGTGTATAAAAACTGAGAAAGAAAAGTGTTTCCGATTCAATAATCAACCCTACTTTTCTAGAGCAGCACCAGCCAGTGTCTCTCAGGAGAATTTCAACCCCAGCCTCCAAAGCTAAGGACATAGAGCAGGCTCTCTGTGTGTTCCCCACTGCCACTGGATGCCAAACAAGCTCCGTGCATTTTCTGGAGAGTGACTGAATGTTATTAGAAAAGATTTTTAAGGCATAGACAGGATATGAGAAGATTCAAAAGCTGGAATGCAATGTTCTTCAATCCCACGTCATCCCTCACGTAATTCATGGATGCTCCAGGCAAGGAGCTGAAGCAAGTGTTTCTGCTCAAATGGAACACAAGCTTTTTTTTTTTGCTTGTTTCCTTAATTCCCTTGCGATATTGCACAGCTCTTCATAGGGGATTCTGCTGCTTTGTCTCTGTTTTCAGGAGGCACGTGACAATGGAGCTTTTTGAGCACAAGCCTCCACACACACCCACTGGCAGCTACCAGCAGACCTGACCAAACTGCAAATTAATCTCATTAAGAGAAACACCACCACCTGCCCCCAGAGGGAAGGAATCTGCCGGCCTACACCTGTGTTTGTGTGAGGGATGGAGGGCTGCAGCCTCCAGCTGTGCAGGTGGGAGGGAGCGTGGGGCCAGCTGTGACAGGCTCAGGTCCCTGTTCCCTGTGCCTCCCCTGCAGAACAACACGAGCCACTGATCCCAGCCAGGCTCTTGTCCGGAGCTGCCAGGTGGCAGAGACACCGCGAGCACGCGTGTCACTTGGTGTCACTCGGTGTCACTGTCCCTGCACCAGCTGCACAGGAACTGCATCAGCCACAGCCACGGGGACACCTGCTTGCCCTGGAAAAGCTGCCAACCCTGAGAGCAGGGACAGGAAAGCTCTGCCTACCCAGGTAAAGATCCCAGCGCTTGAGGAGCACAGAAAATTCTGGTGGCAGCATTATACACATAAAGCACAGAAAATTCCCCAAAGAGAAGATGCTCAGCACTTGCAGCATCTTCTAGTGGACCACTGCTCTGACTTTCTCCCACCTCCTACAACGGCTAAAACTTTCAGAAGTCAAACACTGAACACACATCATAATCCATGGATTATGGATTAAGGAAACTTTAAAAGTGGTAAAGAAGAATGCTCATAACATACCTCAATAACCAGGAGAACAGTTAAAGCCTACACATTTGTTCCTCAAAGGAGAAAACCTAATGTCCCCCATCCTTATCTTCTTCAGCTTGTGCAGCTACTGCTCACCTCCTTTATTGACAGCTCCTGCTGCACTGACTCCTTACTCCTGATGAAAGACCGGTAGTGTAATAAAAGCTGTTCAATAACTATTACACTTCTGCTCAGAAGTCCTTACATTCCAGTTGCAAGTTGAGCAATTGAGTTTCTGAAGTGCTCTGAAATCGTTCAGGGTAGAACTGCTAAGGTTATTGTTAACCTGTTTGTTTCACAGCTAGAAAGTATTGTTTAAATCCAGAAATGGCAAAACCCTCCATTTCAGGAGGCAAAAGGAAATGGCCAGAGAAAAAAGCCTGTTTTATGGGTCTGCTTGTCACAACAGATTTTCCTGCAGAGAGAGATAAATGCTTGAAATGTGAACTTCCAAGCGGCCCCAGCATGAATCCCAGCAGTTACATTTTCAAAACACATTACATGTCTTCCTTTCTGTGAGAGCCAACAAAATACATTCCCTACTAAGGGAATGGGAACTGAAAGTCCATCTGAGGAAAAGCAAACAGCATTAAATTTCCCAAAGGAAAAATGCAGAAGTTTTAGCTGAGGGACTGAGGCAAAATAAACTAAACACTTTACACCATGTGACTTCGGAGATAACTGTTCTATACTTTGCAAAGACAACTGAATTTTACCAGGCTTGGTGGAACAGCCCACAGACAGAATCCATTGCCTATGAACTCCTTTGGCTATTGAGGTTACAGGAAAATCACTCAACAGGAAATAAGAGTCTGGGTTTAGAGGATAAGGGAAGGGGACCAGGGCTCAGAGAACAGACATGGACGTGGAGTCAGGTTTTCCCAGCAAGCAGGCAGAAGTGGCTGTCTGAAATCACACATGATAAAAAACAAGGTTGAAAATTCTATTGGGAAAAGTTACATACAGTCATTAAGGGCAGCATTATCTGGTGGGTGGTTACTACTGGCTTGTGTTCAGTTCCTGCCTCTGTCAATTGATTATTGAAGACAAATAAAATCTCCATCTCAGCGTCACCAATGCCACCTGAGCCATTTTTTTACTGTGAGCACAGATAGGGGCCCTAACAAAGGTCTGTGAAGGCACAGGTGAGGGCTGCTACCTCAACCTGCTTATAATCAACAGAGGCTCTCGTGGCTATTTTAGACTGGAAAGCTCTGGCCAACCCTAAAAAGCCAAGCCACTCTAAGTGCTCTAAAAGAGCATCGGCTAGGACTTGGGAGAAGGAAAAAACAAATCGGAGACAAAAATGCAGATGACACAGAAGGTACAAATAACACTTTCAAGCATTATTCAAGTAATTTAAAAACCAGAGTCCAATTAAAAACATTTTAGATACTTTAAAAACAAATTAGCCTCAGATTTTTTAATTACACGCCACTACTTCTCCTCAGCTTGAGCTGGCTTGGATCACGAAAATCCATTTCACTTTCCATCTCATGCATTAGCACAAGATTGCAATGTTCACACTTGGAAAACATTTATCAGATTTATTTATATATTTAAGCATTACTCAGGAGAGCAAGCGCACCCACTTCTAAATAAAACCTTACACTGCCTCAGCTCAAAGGTTCAAGCAGAAATTTCCAATCGAAGTGGCACGTTCGTGGCAGCATTCAGCAGGTACCACCCGCCCAGAGCCAGCTGCTGGCTGGGTCATCCCGGGACACAGTCCTGCTGCTCCACACAGAGCAAGACCATCCTTGACTGCCCGTCCCTCTCTGCAACACCTGATGTGTTCTGATTCCAACATCACTGAGTACCAGGACACGGGAGTTGGGCTCAAGAACCTCGGCTACAACAACAACAACTTTACATCTGAACTTTGACGGCTCCTGCTGCTTCCCCAGCAGTGAACCGGGGAGGGGAAGGAGCGGTAGGGCAGGCACCTGTTTAAAATACTTGTTAGTGCTGTGATGGATAAGCATTACATCTTCACTTCGCTGCTGTGGAACAACTGACAGCTCACCACAGCCAGTGCCACAAAACCACAAAATGGGGAGAAATGGCCGCAGGGAACGCGCTCCAGAGGTGCCCAGGATCCAGAGGTGCCCAGGGTCCAGAGGTGCCCAGGGTCCAGTGCTTGGCCACCACCGGACCTCCTCCCCGCCCGGCAGGAGCTGCTCCACTGCCCGTCCTGCGGGGCTCCGGGCAGGGAGCACCGCCGAGCCGCTCCCTGCAGCCAAGGAGGACCGAGCGGCACCGGCCCAGCCGCGGTGTGAGCCCAGGTGTGCCGCTCAGGTGCGGGGCTGGGCTCTGTGCGGACACAGGGCTCGGGCTGCCCCAGCCCGGGCATGTCACACCGCTGTGTGCAGGAGCAGCCACCCAAATTAACCCTTCCCAGGACACAGGTGCCAGGCTCTGGCACCCGGCAGTCAGCTCGGCTCATCCACCTTAGAAATGTCTTTCTTATCTCCGATTTCCCCCCCAAAGCTCACAGTTAAGTAAAAACTCATAAAAAACGAGTACTACGTGAAACACTAACGCTGGGAAAGGGAGCGGGAGCCGCTGCCAGCCTCTGCCGCAGCAGGAGTCCCACGAGCGGCATCCCGGGTGCAGGTGCGCCCGGAGAACGAGAGCAGCGAGACACCGGGGCAGCGCGGGGCAGATCCGCGTCCCCGGCGGCAGCCCGGGCAGGCGGACGGACCCGCTCCCCGCCGAGGCACCGGGACGGGACCGGGACGGGACCGGGACGGGACCGGGAGCGGCACCGGGACGGGACCGGGCCGCAGGGCGTTCCCCACACGGCGTCCGCCGCGACCCGCGGCCCCCGGGGCCGGAACCCGGAGCGCTGGCTGCCGCACAGCCCCGGGGCTCCCCCGCCGCCGCCCTCACCTCCTTCTTCACGTTCCAGAGCAGCCTGTCCTTCACGGCGTCCGCCGAGCAGCTCATGTTGGCGGGCCCGGGGCGCTCACAGCTCCCGACCCGGGCCCGCCGCCATCTTCACCGCGGCGTGACGTCAGCGGGCGGGGCGGGGGCGCAGCCCGGCCGCCAGGGGGCGCCGCGAGCGGGGAGAGCGCGGGGCCCGGGGGGACCGGGGGGGACCGGGGGGGACGGACAGAGGGACAGAGGGACAAGGAACAGGGACAGAGGGGACAGGGGGACAGAGGGGACAGAGGGGCAGGGACAGAGGGGGACAGGGGGACAAGGGACAGAGACCCGGCGGGCCAGCGGGACACGGAGCAGGCGGCACACGGATCCCCCGCTCTGCTGCCGGCCCCCCGGTCCGGAGCTCCAGCCCCAGATCCTCGGAGGGGATCGATCACATCGGCAACACGCAACAGAAGTTCCAGAGACCCACAGTACCAATAAAAAGCTGTGATGTTGGAGAAAAATCACAGAAGACAAAATATAACACTTTATTAAAAATTAGTGTTCTATTTTTCCTTTTAATGCACTCGTGAAACACTTTAATCAGCAGATAATTGATTAATTACTGAATTAACTAGGTACTTTGTCTGTAAAACTGACCCTTAAAAGTTAGACATGAAAATAAAACAAAGACTGAATCTCTAAGAAAATAACTTGATCCCAGAATGTCAGTTTAAACAAGATTAGCAATCATATTTGTTATCCTCTGGCTATAAAATATCATAGAAATCCAAAAGAATGCTTTACTCTCAATAAACAAATTAAGTGTCAGCCACCCTGTGAGGTAGGGGAGGGTCTCACTACCGTTCCACTGGCTGAGGAGAAGGGACACAGATCCAGAAAACAGAGCCTGCCGTCTGTCCCTGAGGGAGGACAGAGCTGGAACAGGGCTCCAGGCACACCTGAGCTGTCCCACGGCACGGGGAGGGCGGCTGTGGGCACCGAACGCCACGGTTTGTCTCAGAACAACCTCACTGTGGAAGGCAGGGGCTGCTGGGCAGACCCACCTTGCTCAGGTATATCTCAGTACTGCCTGGAGAGAACTCTGTCTGAAAATGAAAAACCTTGAGAAGAACAAAATCAAACCAAGCCCACAGCAAGCATCATCCTCCTCACTGTTGCTGCTTCTGCACTACACTGGCTGTAAACTCATGTTCCAGAATGTCTAGAACATTTCTGTCACAATAATTAATAGTTTTCAATGATGTAAAGACTGATTAAGGTGAGAATACAAAGCATGTGATACATCTCAACTCCAGTACTTGAAATGATCAGAACCTGGTGGGACAGAGACTGGACCAGGGCATGACTTTGGGGCAAGGGAGATTAAGTGGCACCCTGTGCTGGAGCAGCTCCAGGCAAACAGGACTCAGGAAAAACTCCAGGGAAATTAAAAGGATATCTGCACATCTTTTAAACGTGCATAACTGCTGACAGTTCTTACTGATACATTCCACAAACACCAAGAAGATCCTTTGCCCTTGGTAAAAGATTCTCACAACCCAGATGGTTCTCAAAACTGTTTGCTTCCCAGGTTAATTAATCTAAATCAAAATCAGAAATTAATACTACTTGTTGGCTGTGGGAAATAGGGAAAGGAAAGGTAAACCAAAACACAGGCTTTTCTCTGCTTCTTACAGTGTACTAACTCACAAGTTGGATCCATTTTGTTAATGAATCCTGCGAGTACAAAAAGCCTCTGGAGCAGTAGACAGATCTGACTCTTTCACACACTCCTTCCCACACCTGTCCTCCCCACAAAAAATAAAAGCAAATATGACATTTTTCTGCTTATAACTTCATTTAAACACAGTTTTGCAAGGCCATCAGCATCACTTACTCTGTTAACAATCACTACGATAGTAACAAGAAGAAAAAACATAAATAATTTGCCAAGAAACAGAAGTGCCATGTGTTTTTTAAATGGCATCAGCCTTTGTTACAAGACAGAAAAAGCACAAGATAATAACTTGAAGCTGTTAAATGCAGCACAAAGACCCCATCACTGCAGCCTCTGCTGGTGCCTTCTAATTAAATAGCATCAGTGCAGGGAAAGAGTTTTAAAAAACCACATCACACTCTAGCAGAATTAAAGAGGCAAGAAAATCCTAGAAGTCTGTTAGTGTTTTCTTACTAACCCACAACATTTTAATTTTCAAAAACCTGAATGGGTGCAAATAATTTTTTGTTCCCTCCTCTGTTTCTATTACTCCCAAACCATCTACATCTCAATTTTCCTTATGAACTCCCTGCATTAAGTTTGGATTATTTTCTTGCCAGGCTTTTGCAGTAATTTTCTTTAAATCTTACAGGTAGATTTGGCACTGGTCAAAGCAGTTCAGGACTGACCACTGTGGAATCTGGAGCTTCATGACTGAGGATGATATGGGAACACAAAGGCAGCTGTGGAATATATCCAAAATATCCCGGCTCCCAGTGGGCAGCCAGCAGGAATAACCAAGACAGTGGCAAAACTGCTACTGACAGCTAAAACATACAAGCAAAAGTTTAAAAATATGACAATGGTTTTTCATACTAAACTTGAAACCGTTTCCAGAAAATTTCCAGAAATTTCTAAATTTTCAAATTTCCAATTTTACTCCCACCTCCTGAAGTGCCCTGTACAATCAGCACCAAGCCAAGCATTCATAATAAAAGTGATTATTTCAGCTTAAAATCCAGTATAAGCCACCTCTCTCCTGTGCCTAAAGCCTCTCACAGTTCCATGCTAGAACAATATTTTCATGGCTGTTTTACTTCTTCAGCTTCTACACTCTAGAAGGGATTCAGGACACAGAACTTGAATTCACATGTTCTAGCCTTAGAAAACACTGTTTAGCCTGTACTTCTCCAGCCACTCCAGCAATTTTTCCCCCGCTGCTTGAGAAATTTAACATTAAATAGCACTTTTAGGCCACAGGAAGAGAATAACGTAAAACAAATTCCCCAGATTGCCCTTCTTTGTATAAACAGGATTACACAGTGACAAACCTCAACCAGGGCAACAGTGCCACAACCTGCTCAAGTTTGCTTACTTCAGGTTTCTTCCCTCTCCATACCCATTTCCCCCTCTCCCCAGACAAGTCAGTACCTGCACATTTACATTTTCAGAGATTTCAATTTTTCACATGGAGAGGCTGATGACTTGATTCTTACCACTTTGGAAGAGCTTGCCTTGGAATCAATGAGTTTTAAAGACACTATCCTGGAACACAAACCTTTGCAGGTGTTCTGGGGACAGGGGTGGGAGAGCACAGGTGCAGCTGACTGGCCAGCCAAATGTTCTCCTGGGGGTTATCCCGTGTAAGGTCTGCCAAGAGCAGCCACATTCAAGTTCTCTCTTCAGTATCTTGATTTAATAACTGCAAGTTCCACTATACAAGGCCCTGAAAGAGGAGCTGTCTGGAAAGAGCTTTTCAAACCACCCCACCTCACTCAGGAGGAGCAGCGCTGCTCACGGCAAGGGGGAAACTGGCAAATTGTTAGATAGGAAAGAGCAACCACAAACTGAGAACCAGCGTCCCACATCCCCTCCCCAGCAGGAAGAGGGGCCAGCCTGCAGGGAAAGCACCAGGTGCGCAGCTCACACCTCAGTTCTCCAACCCTCGGCCTTTAGTGCTGCTCTGTGCACACAATGCCCGGGGGCCGAGGCGCCCCATGAAATCGGTGTCCAGGGGATGCCCCGCTCCTGCCCAAGGACGAGCCACGAGCCGCAGCAGCCCTGCAGGACGCAGCACAGCTAATGGCCGAGCTGGCGGTCGTCGTAGGTGCTGTATCTCTTGACGTGGATGCGGCGCACGCGGTCGCGCAGCTCGAAGCCCTCGTCGTCCTCGCTGTGCGAGGCCTGGCTCCGGCTGCGGCTCGTGGCCTCCAGCAGCGAGTTATCCGGGACTCGGGGCGTCTCGTACAGCAGGACGTTTAGTGTTTCCTCATAAATTCGTGCCTCAGGGAACTCAACCTACAAAAGGCAGCACATGTCCTGTTCCTCATCCATCCAGGATAGCAACTGGAACACATACCCACACGTGAAAAGGTACTGAGCCATAAACCCTCACATTATAAAGAGTTAAAAATTTCTGGTAGAGGGGACTCCCAACACCAGGTCACCTCCCTCACCTGATCTTTTAGACTGATCTAAAGGGAATACACTATCTCCAGTTGTTAACATTGGACTCTGGTAACCTCAGCTGCAGCACTGCAAATTCAAAGTTAACTCCTGAAGTTAGAGAAACTCTGCAGACTCCTGAAGCTAATCACGACCTTTTCTAACCCATAGCACAGGCAGGTGCAGCTCCATTACCTTGGTTTGCTTCTTCTCCGTGGCGTAGACGATGGAGGTGCAGCAGACCTCAGCCAGCTTGCGGCCCTGCCCGTAGAAGGACCAGCAGCAGATCTCGTCCCCGATCACGTCCTTGATGAACAGCACCCGCCCGTTGAACCGCAGGGACAGCTTGTCAAACAGCTCGATGTTCTTCAGCAAGTTGTCATCAGAGTTACTGAAACACAGCAACAAAAGCAGGAACAGGGCTTTTCATGCACCCATCTCTGCATGTTCTGCCAGCTTTCAGCACTGATCCAACTGCAGAATACAAATAAGTAGTGACTCACTGCCACATGCTGCCAAGAAAAGAGGGGTAATAGCCCATTTCAGATACTAATACACTGCTCTGACCCTATGAGCAAACACACCAGCCTTTAGAGATCAACTTAGACAATTAATAAGGACAGCACAATGTCCCAAACCATTACATCAACTATCCGTGCTCGAGATGATCAAACCCCACTTCAGTGACGTTCTCTGGCTTGATGACAGCAGAGGTCTAGTGTGTGCTGGAAGGGCCATGTGCTCTGCATCCTTCACACCACAGACACACTGCCAGCATGAACACATTATTTTAAAAAATAAGTGTTATTGACAGACATGCAATGTAGGACCCTAATTACCTTTCAAAGCAAGATTGTCAAAACCCAAAACAAACCAAAAGAAGTGAAGTTAGATCATCACTATTGTCCACTCCCATAGTAAAAAACCAACTTTCCCACTAAAGTGAGGGGAAAAAAGAAGGGCCATACCTGGTGTAGGAGTATTTATTGTTGCTTCTATTATGTAGCAGTTTAACAACAGGCTGTTGGGAGTGAGAGAAAAGAAGAAAAGGTAAGTTCAGTGTTTCAACACATTTAGCATAAATCCACAGCTGATAAGAGCAGTTACTTTCATTGATGACTCTATCAGTCTCTCCTCTTCTTTCGGTGAGGTGATAATAGGGATGCTGCAGACAGGTTCATACAAGTCTTTCTTGTCCTGTTTTAATGAAAGAAGAAAGAGAGGAAATAAGAGAGGAATGCTAAAGCTGACATTGCTGCTGCTGCCTCCTTCAGCCCCTCCAGCCATGTTCCCAAACGCTGTGATGCACAGGAAAAGAGCTGGGTTGCTACAGTAACCACACAGCTTACCTTGATCTGCAACCCAGAATCACAGCGGAGATTTCCTACCCCCGGAAGGCAGCAGTAATTGAAATACTGAGATGCAGGTGGATGTCCTCAGCCATAGCGAGGACAAGGTCTAGTCATACTTGGTTTAAGTGGGTTTAATATTCCATCCTTTCTTGAAGAAAAGGATAGAAGGAGTCTGCAGTAGTTTTAATCAACTCAAACCAGTGCACAAGAGCATCAGCCACTGTGAACTGAACACTTAGCAGAACAGGATGTCACCAACATGAGCCAGCCCTCAGGGACACAGAGCCAAGTGTGGCCAGGACAGGCCATGGCCCCAGATCCCTCACCACCTATTTACTAAATCATATTTTAAAAATGCCTTGTACACCTCAGACTTGATGCCATCTCTAAGGCCATGAAATAATCTCTCAAGTTGTCTTAAGTAAATTTTATAAGCAAAACAGCCATGAAACACTTCACAGGATACTTCTGTTCTTACCTGCAGGGCTGCTTGGCACATGTCCACCAAGCCCTGGATGAGATAGTATTTGGCTTCTGCCATCAACGCTTTGATCTCCTGCCTGTGTTTTGGAAGTGCAATTGTGTCATCTCTGAGATAATTTAAAATTGTTCCGAAGTGCTTCCCACAACGGTCTATAAGGATCCAGCCTGAAAAATAACCAACACCTTTCAGTCACCTCAACACTGGAGGCTAGAAAAAGCTCCCTGGAGAGGTTACACAACACTGAGGTTTCCTGATACTGCTCAGGACACTTCTCCCATTTCACCCAGTGGAAGTCCCTACTGCCTTTGAGCAAACTGAAGTTGGTTCCAGAACAGAACCTGACAGTGGAGCCCCTTCAGTATTGCCCAGATGTTCCCACTGCTTCCAGCACACTGCACTGAGACTGCTGCAGGAACCCAACTGCAGTGCTACACTGTGATGCTGGGCAGTCAGAAACCTCAGAGCCAAGGAAGGACTGGAAAAGAGAATTCTCCAATGACTGCAACAAGTAGATCTGGGTAAGTTCTGTGGCCTAACAAGGAGGACTTGGCAATTATCCAAACACAACTGCTGCTGCTGTTTGGAGGTAAAAAGAGAGAGAAATGTTCTGAAGATGATTAAAGGCAGATCAGCCCAGAAAACCCAGTGTGGGGGGGTAAAGTTGTTCTAGCCCCCAAAGAGGAGCAAAGAAGAGGACAGACAGATCAGGAGGAAGCACAGAGGGGATGCAGCAGAGGAAACAGTAGCAAATGGACAAATTCTTGCAATTTTACAAAATCCCTGAAGTCACATTCCCTAAAGAAACAGGATGTCTGATTGCTGCCAAACAATAGCAGTGTAGGATCAGGCACGCACAAGGCTTAGTACGGTGCCAGACCCTTTCCCATAACATGGAAGGCAGAAAAAAGGGTTACTTTGGAATCTAGGTACAGAAAACAACCTAGGAAAGTAAGCTAAACCCCTGTTGGACTCTCCAGCTGGAGCTGTCAGAACATAACTCTTGTTTTCCATCCAGGCTGAGGCTCTTACACAAAATTGTCTGTTCTGCCCTTTATAATGTATCATGGATTTAAAATATCCTGTGTCCAGCTGGAGGTGACACACTGCCTGACTGATCCCTAAACGCTGCCATGGCACCATGAGCCACGACGGAAATATGCTGCTCAGGAAAAGGAGGGGGGGAAGAGATTTTTCAACAAAGCAGGGCAGGCTATTCTGAGCCTCAAAGCTGAAAACTGCACGTCCCTCCTTACGTGTGTGGTTTGAATAATGCCACTGCTCGATGTGACAGAAATGACAACCCACAGACTGTCTGTTCAGTCTTTACAACACCACCACCAACCTGCTCACCAGCTGTGAGGGCAGGAAAGAGGACCAGACCTTCCCCAGTTCATTTGAGTAACAAAACCAAGTATTTCTATAAAGCCAAAGGAATTCTAGCACTGACAGGAGGACTTGGCTTCCTAATGTTCCCAGTTATTTTTGGCAGGTATCATTCTCTACATCTTCAACAGAGTAAAACCACCACCAAACCCCAGCTGTTTTACAAAACTGTCAGCAATGAAAGCCATACGTTTACCTTCCTTGTCGGTGAGCACCTCCATCCTGCCGCTGAACATGGCCTTGAGCATGGTGTCGTGCCTGGTGAGCACCTGCACCGTGGTGTAGTACAGGGAGCCGCCGACGTTGAGCCGCACGTACTTGTTCCCCAGGCTGCCGCCCTTCAGCCCGCCGGCCTTGGGCTTGTGGCCCGCGGCCGGGCACAGGGCGCTGCCCAGGCACGTGTCCCCCGACATGTCCTTCTGGAGGTAGATGACCACCCTGCAGCGCGTGGGCCTGGCCGGCCCCGCCGTGGTGCCGTGGTCACGCCTCAGTGCGCCAGGACGGCGGGGCAGGGGCCAGCATCACCTCGGGGTCAGCACGGCGAGGGGTCAGCACGGCGAGGGCTCCGCACGGCGAGGCGAGGGCTCCGCACGGCGAGGGCGAGGGCTCAGCACGGCGAGGGCTCCGCACGGCGAGGCGAGGGCTCCGCACGGCGAGGGCACAGCACGGCGAGGGCTCAGCACGGCAGCCCACAGCCACTCCACACACAGACAGGGATGTCACTCTGCAGAAGAAACACTTCCTAAGGACGCAAGTGCACACATCCTGGTAAAACTCGATTTGGCCATTTTTCAGACAATTGATGCAGCCAATGCTGTGTCACACTTCTGAGGCACGCAAAACTCTCCTGACTTCCTGTAATTGTATCTCCAGCCAGCACTGCAAACACCACACAGCACCGAGGGCCCGGCTCAAATGCTGCTGGAATTCAGCTCCCCCTCGGCTTCCCAAAAGAGCCCAACTCTCTTTGAGCCCAGCTGAAATGCCCTGGAAGAGCTTCCTGCACCTCCTTCAACTGGGGTGCATGTGCATCCCCCTGAGCGGGGTTTGTTGATATTGGCTGGACTTTAAATTGGAGACACAAATGTCTCTTCAAATGCCTCAACACTGAAAAGCTGAATCACAAGGTTCTATTTTCTGGTAATTCCTTCCATTCAAAACTCTCCTGCATCCATCCGGGAGCCCCAAACAATGAACGTAGTTCTAATTTGAAAAGAAAATAAACAAGGCTCCCTATCATGTACACCACTGTTTGTCACCGCTGTCCTGCCTTGCTTTAAACCCTCAAAACCCCCTTTTTAGACCAGTGGCATGTCTGCAACAGCAGCCAGACCAAGGCTTTGAGGAGACAGGAATCCAACCTGTCCAACAGAGCTCCTCAGAAGAGTTCCCAGTCAGTTCTGTCCCTCCAGGCAGTTTCTCACTGCTCTGACCGAAGAACGAAGCTAAACACCAGCAAAGAAGCTAAACCCCCTGCCCAGCCAGCGCAAGCAGGAGCCAGCACAACTCCTGTAAGTGGTCACTGAGGAGCTGCGGGGCCTCTGCTGTAAACAGCCCCGAGACCTTTAATTACCCCTTTGACACGACCGAAAGCTCCCCACATCCCGTCCCGTCCCTCCTGCCCCGCGTGGGAGGCAGGACGGGCTGCGGAACGATGGCCCCGCAACGGGACCCGCCCCGGCCCGGCACCGCCGGGAAAAGGAGCGACCCGAGCGGCTCGGGGGGAGCCGGGGGAGAACGGGGGTACCGGGGGAGAACGGGGGAGAACGGGGGTACCGGGGAGAACGGGGGAGAACGGGAGAGCCCGGGGGTACCAGGGGAGAACGGGGGAGCCCGGGGGTACCGGGGGAGAACGGGGGAGCCCGGGGGTACCGGGCAGACCGGGAGCCCGCCCCGCCGCTCACCCCGGGCAGGGCCCGGCCCGCGCGGGTCACAGCGAGCGGCCCGCGGGCCCTGCCCCGCACCTGCCCCGGCCCCGCTCCGCCCGAGCCCCCCGGGAACGGCGGCACGGCCCGGGACAGGCTCCGTCCGCCCCGGCCGCCGGGGAGGCGAGCAGAGGCGGCCCGGCCCCGCTCCCGCCCGGCCTCCGCACTCACCGCGGCCGCCCTCAGCCCGGCCCGCCCCGGGAGCCGCCGGCCCGGAAGAGCTTCCGCGGCTCCCGGCGGGCGCAGCGCGGCCGGAGGCGGGGCCGGAGCAGCCGAGCTGCCGGCGGAGGCCCGTTCGCCCGGCTCGGTTCGGTTCGGTTCGGTTAGCTCGGCCCGGCCCGGCCCGCTGTCCCGGCGATGGCGCAGGCGGCGCTGGGCGCGGCGGGGCTGCACTTTGACGAGCTGAACAAGCTGCGGGTGCTGGAGCCCGAGGTGGCGGCGCAGACGGCGCAGCTCCGCGAGGAGTGCCGGGCCTTCGTGGACAGTGAGTGCCGCGGGCCGGGCACCGGGCACCGGGCACCGGACACCTCTGCCCTTCTCTCGCCCCTTTCTTCTGAGTCCGCCCGAATCGTAAAACCTGCCTGCTTACTGTAAATTCTAAACGTGTACCTGAAAACTATACGACACCTAAAAACTATACGGCAAAGCAGGAGCATCAGATCTATTTAGGGAAGTTCAGGGTATCACTTGACGATATTTTTCTTTACAGAAACAGCAGAATTTCAGAAAATAGTGGGCAGCTTGGTTGAGCTCGTTGACCAACTGGCCAAAGCTGCAGAGAGTGAAAAGATGAAGGTACGGTGCAGTACATTCCTAGCCTCTCTGTGCGCTGTCCTGTGTGGGGCCTCTCTCATCCCTCCTTCCCTTTACAGCAGAAGCAAGGATTCTCTGTCAGCCTTCTGCTGGCATTCCCCTGGGATTAACCGGGCCTTTTAAAATTGATATTAATGATAATATTAATCAATAATAATGAATTCATTACACTTATGATAGCGTCACATTACTTACACACGTACCAGTCCTGCTGTCCCTGCTTGTCTATATTCCTGCACAGAAATAAAATGTGTGCTTTTTAATCACTCCATCTTGGTAGAACTTGTCCTCCAGAGGCAGGAGAGGCCTCTGGCAGCCTGAGCCTGGCTGTAGGACCAGTGCCCAGTGTGTGTGTTGCTGATTTGTTCCTGGAGTTTGGGGGAAGCCCCAGTTCCACCAACCCCTCAGGAGCACAGCATCACCCTCCCTTACTGCTGGCACAGCTGGAATGCCTCACAGTCAGCCTGGCTGGGAGGGAAAGGGGCTAAAGGAGTTAACCAAAAACCCTCCACACATGCCTGCCCTGTCCTGCCAGGCCATTGGCGCACGGAACCTGCTGAAGTCGATCGCAAAGCAGAGGGAAGCTCAGGAGCAGCAGCTGCAGGCTTTGATAGCAGAGAAGAAGATGCAGCTGGAGAGGTGAGTTGTGTGTTCAGTGCTCCGGGGTGCTGTGCAGGCTGGGAAGGCTCAGGGTGGACACAGGGCTCAGTGCCGGTGCTGTGGGACCCTTGGCTGGTTCAGACAGCCCCACGTGCATCCAAGGTGTGTCCTGGCCAGGGCACATGGGAACAGTGCCACAGGCCTGCAGTTACCTTCCAGCCCTGCAGTGAACCAAAGTTCACTCCTGAGGACTTCAGGGCTGAACAGAGGCAGGAGGGGCTGTGCAGAACTCAAGACCCCTGCAACAGCCTCGTGCCTGGCTGGCAAAGAGCAGCTGTGCGTGACTCGGGCACCTGCTGCATACAGGGCACTCACACTGGTAGCCCAGCTCCTGACACTGGTAGCCAGCTCCCCTCCCACCTCCCGGGGGCTGCCCTGACCCAGCTCACACGGGGTCCTGGAGCCTCTTTTGTCTCACAGGTACCGGATCGAGTACGAGACTCTCTGCAAAGTCGAGGCGGACCAGAACGAATTCATCGACCAGTTCATTTTCCAGAAATAGAGGATTTTAAGATAAAAGCCAACACACATGGACACTTGACCATTCCAGAATCCTGAGAATTTCAGAAATATGCAATTTCCACTGAGCAGGAGTGCAGATGGCTTGTACAATGGAGGGACTGTACCTCGGTTTGAGTGTACCATGGCAATAAGGAGGGCTGACAGCTCACAGCTGCACAGACTGTTCTGGCCTTTGATTTTATACCAGTTTTGTACAGTCAGTAGTTCTAATTCAAATTACAGTTGAATTAATGCTACTGGTGCTTTGTTGTGTCACTTTTTGAAGTCTACAGCTCTTTCATAGAAATCAGAAAATAAATTATTGTTCTCAGACTGTCTAGCTGTACCAGAATTAGTTGCTCCCCCTCTGTTATTTTTCAGTGTAAAGGTTTACACACAAGTAGCAGTATTGGATCTATATAAGCTTATGTTACTTTTTCTATAGAACTACAAAAGAAAGACAGAAATGTATGATTTCCAGAATGGACCAGTGACAGATAGAAAAAAGCAGAAACTACCTGAGAATGAAGAAATTTGAACTGTTCCTGAGGAATGTCCATTCAGGACTGTCATAATAATGAGAGCTGAATCCTTTTATGGGCATTATTAGGATGGAACACCAGACTCATGAGGGAAACCATTCCAAGTGTCAGTGACACCAGGAGTGCACAAACTATATATAAACTACAAACACAAGTGTGAACTCAAGCCTCATGTTGGACGTGCAGAGATGCATTTTGTGTACGTCTGTAGCGCTTCAGTATGGAAATGTTGCCCTTTCCAAAGCCTGGGGAAGGATTCAACTTTACACAGTGAATAAAATGTGCCAGCAGTGCCTGAGCAGCTTCACGGGCCCCATCACCTCACCAGGCTCCAGGTAAAAACCAACCCCAACCACAGAACTTCTAGCTGTAGTTGTAACTTATGCATGGATTTACTCTTGTGACCTCTCTACCATCTCATGGTCACTCTTAAGTTCCTTCAGCCATTCCCTGAAGAAGAATGCATGCAGTTTAATGCGTTTAGTTATTTATTTCCATACCAGAAGTAATTTTAGGGAAGAAAGAAATTTCCAACTCCTTGGTTACAATTCCTGAAGTACTTCCACGAATCCTTCAGCATTCGTGAATCCAGATTTTGGCACATTTATCATTGATCAGACATTTATAATTAATCAAAATGAAGCAGAGCAAAGGCAGTGGAAATTTTAAAGGAAGGGGCGAGGAAGAATCATGATATGATTTGAAATGCTGCAAAAGAACAGCTTTGCAAATCTGTGTGTAATGAGTTGGGGATTCTTCAGAATATGTGGTTGGAAGACAGATTTTCTACTTGAGTGGTTTCCAAACAGTCATCTTGGGAAAAGGGACCTTGGAGAACAGTATGAGCTGCAGAGTGTGACTGAATGTGTGTGTGTCTGTGTGCGTGTCCCTCACAGAGTTAAACATCAAAGGGATAAAAGACCATTTTCCTGGGAGAGGGGCCTTGCACAGACCTGGCCCCAGGCTGGCCCAGGCCCCTGCCAGAGCTGTGTGTGGTCGAAGCAGGGCTGTGCGCTCCAACCAATTCCATTTTTCCTTGCAGCAGCCGGTGCTCTGGGAAGAGCCGCTGCAGCCGACAGGAGGGAGACGTTTGTCCCAGAGGAAGCAAATGCAGCACAGGTGTGGTGTGTTGGACTTCCAGAGCAGGCTACTTCCGTTTCCTCTTCTCCACGTGTTTGTAGTGGGGGTTGCAGAGCATGGTGAACAGCAGCAGCAGTGGGATCAGCAGGTACGGCAGGTAGATGGAGAGCAGCACCAGGCGCTCGCGCAGCGTCTGCGGGCCCGCGTGCTCCGACTTGGAGAAGTCGTGGAACAGGATGTGGGCCAGGATGGCAAACAGAGTGGTGGCCACGTGGGTGGAGTAGATAATGGCAGGAGTCCTGATCCATCTGCAGCCACCTGTACAGAAGCAAAAAGGAAACCATATTTAAGTAGTTTGAAAAACCAGAACTCCGAGGCTTGTGACAACGCTGACTGCTGCCTCTCTGCCAGGGTAAGCCATCACTTAGATTGAATAGGGAGCAGAAAAAACCCTCAGTACTAGTAGGAACTGAGGAAATTTCTCTCCCCTGGTGGCAATTTAGAACAAAGGGGTGATCCTGAATGTTCTAAAGTAACAAAATGAGTACACAGGCTTGACCCAGGCCTTTAGCTGCCCTGGAAATTAGCCAGATGTCAAATGCTGATGGTGGTTACACAAATGGCTGCACCTGACAAGGGCCTGTAGTTACTTTTTTCTGACAAACTTTATTCCGTGCTGTCGCTGTTGAGGCAGGACGGGAATGAGAAGACTGACCAGAAAGCTGCATGAGAGTGAAACTGCAATTTATTCAAAATACACTGCTCTTTTATACAGAGCTTCGTGAGGACCAACTCCATTGCAAGCCACAGCATTGGTGCAAAGTGCTTGACGCACAGTGACAGAACTTAACTATAAACAATGTGAACAACAAGAGAGATAAAGCATTATTTACATTCTTCTCCAGCTCTTTCCCAGGCTTTTTGCCTAGCTAGAAACTCTCAGTTTCTTTCTTTGACTAAATCTGAGTCCCACACCGTGCTGCTTTCTCAGGCAGAACACCCGTATGGGCCCTGGCAGCCCAGCCCTCCACAGTACCTCCCTCAAACCCCCTAATCATGGTACAGAAACGCAGCAGCTGTCCTGCAAAAATGCCCCCAGGACATGCCCTCAGTCACTGTGGTTTCCCCTCACCTTTCAGGAAGGCGTAGGCAGCGATGGGGAAGAAGGGCAGCTGGAGAAAGGCTTCGCAGTAGATGAACGCCTTGAACCACTCTGGGGGCTGCAGCATCATGGGGTCCCTGAAGGCAGTTGCATACTGCTGCAACAGGTCTGTCAGCTGAAAAAACCCAAAACAACAGTCAGTCACTGAGCATTCACCACAGCAGGGCACAGCTCGTGGTTCTCCCTAGGATGAAGCCACCAGGGTGTGAGCCCAAGGTTCTGAGTGGGGCTGGGGGCTCCTTTCGGGGCTGCTGCACCAGCACCAGAATTTGGGCTCAGTCAGTTGCAATTAATTTCCGACAGAAATGTAAACTCCAGCATGGCTTTACGCTGGACTTTGAACAGAGAGATATGCATTGAGATCTGCTGGTTAACTATTAATTGGAAATGGTTCCTATAGTGGAGCAATCCTACAGGCAGTTCCGATGGTAAGAACCAAATCACCAGCTGTAAAGCTCAAAGAGGAGGTGACAGCCCACCGCACTCTGACGATGAGGGCTGAATTAATTACCTGCCGTCCAACTGTTATTTTAATTGATTTTATGACGTTTATTGTCTTGTATGATTTTGCTCAAAACCCAGCAAACCAGAGATTTTTACTAATAAATTCGGCCGCTGGCATGGCTGCTCCTGCACGGCAACAGCTCCCTGTTGCATTTTCTGTAGGAATTTGAGGAAAAGTCGGTGTCGGTGAATGCCGCAGGAGCCAAGGCCGGGGCACGTGGCTGCCGCAGCCCCGGGGCCGGTGCCGAGGGCGGCAGCGGGACAGCGGGGCCGCTCCGCGGAAAGGATGTCCCTGGGCACTTGTGGAACACCCACAGCCCGCCCTGGGCAGAGCAACGTCCCCACGGCCCAGTCCGGGTGAGCCTCGGTGGGACGGGGACACGGAGCGGCCGCCACATCCCGGCACAGCACCGGCTGAAGCATTCGTGAATCCAGATTTGTCTCCGGATCCCGCTCCCGGCCCTGTTCCCGTTCCTGCTCCTCCCCGGTGAACGACCCGCTGTGACTCATGCCGTGGGCAGCGGCACCGCTCGCTCCCGGCCGCTCTCACGCGTTCGCTGCAGTTTCTCTCCCCCGCCCGCCGAGACTCGGCGGAGGCCGCCCCGGCCCCGGCCCCGTCACCCCGGCGGACGCCCCGGCCCGACCCCCGGCCCCACTCACGGCCCGCGGCGCGATCCCGGCGGGCAGCAGCGGCTGGAGGTCGATGAGCGCCGTGATCGGGATGTGCGAGAGGAAATAGAGGGCGAAGAGCCGCTCCCGCCACCGCGGAGCCGCCGCCATCGCCGCGCCGGGCCCGGGCCCGCCCCCCGCGCCGGCCACGTCCCGCGGCACCGCCCCGCCCGGCACCGCCCCGCCCGGCCCGGCCCTTCCCAGTTCTTTCTCTATTTCCCCGTTCTTTCCTCGTTCTTTCCCTATTTCCCCGTTCTTTTCCCCTTTCCCAGTTCTTTCCTCGTTCTTTTCCCCTTGCCCTGTTCTCTTCCCTTCCCCGTTCTTTCCTCGTTCTTTCCCTATTTCCCCGTTCTTTTCCCTTCCCTGTTCTTTCCTCGTTCTTTCCCTATTTCCCCGTTCTCTTCCCTTCCCCGTTCTTTCCTCGTTCTTTTCCTATTTCCCCATTCTTTCCCCCTTTCCCTGTTCTTTCCCTCTTTCCCCATTCTTTTTCCCGTTCTCTTCCCCTTTCCCCATTCTTTCCCCATTCTTTTCCCGTTCTCTTCCCCTTTCCCCATTCTTTTCCCCTTTCCCCATTCTTTTCCCCGTTCTCTTCCCCTTTCCCCATTCTTTTCCCCGTTCTTTCCCTGTTTTCTTCCCCTTTCCCCATTCTTTTCCCCTTTCCCATTCTTTCCCCGCTCTTTCCCCCTTTCCCAGTTCTTTCCTCGTTCTTTCCCTATTTCCCTGTTCTTTTCCTCTTTCCCCGTTCTTTCCCCGTTCTTTTCCCGTTCTCTTCCCCTTTCCCATTCTTTCCCCGCTCTTTCCCCCTTTCCCCGGCGGTGCCAGCAGCCTTGCCCGCCCCGCCCGGCTCCGGTGCCCGGTGCTCCGGTACCTCGGCCCGGCCGCTGCAGGGCTCGGGCGCTGCCCGGCCCGCTCGGGGCTCCGGATCTCCCTCGGGTCACCTCCGGCCCCAGCCCCGGCTGCGGGACCCGATACACCCAAGAGGAGAAAGGGAAACGTCACAGACAGCAAGCAGGCAGGACAGAACGACGCCACCACCGCCTTTTCAAATGTCACATTTAATGTTTTCACCACTGTACTCCAAATCTACATTTTACAAAGTGACCAGCAAGTGTGCCACATTAACTGACCAACCTCTGAGATTTTACCTTTCATACCAGTGTCTTCTGGGGCTCGGTAATTAAACACGTTTCTCATTCAAGTGAATTGAAATGCTTCAGTTGGTTTTATTCTCAGGAGCCTCATAAAAAACAAAGATATTGCACCATCTTTGTTCAGTTATTCAATGTTTGTCTCTTTCACAGCAAATAATTACTTCATTGAAGTTAAAACTTCCAAACATAACTTACTAATAGTCTCCAATTCCAGCTCAGATCACTCTTGTTGAAAATACTCTGCTAAATACAGATAACTTACAATAACTTTAACAGTTAATTGTCCATAACAAACACCATGGTTTCTCTCCAGACCAAGGCTCAAATTTTAAGACCACCTTTTAGTATTCCTTTGTACAGGTGAAAAACAGTCTTCAATTTTCTAGTCTTGTTTTAAATACAAAAGTTGGAAGGGACATTCAAGTTTCAAGTCTCCACACTAAACTTAAAAAAAAAAAAAAATCATGTGGAGGTAAACAAACCAAGTTGTATACTCCAGGAGGTAGAGGCCTTCAATTTGTGTTCATATATACATATGCACAGAATTCAGTGTTCCAACAGAAAAAGAATTAGCCAAAAAGTAATAAAAGTTATTTACTACTGTGACATTTCAAGACTTCCACAGCTCTGTCTAAAGACACGAACACAATTAACAGAATTCCCTATGTGCTTTTTTTTGTCCTTTTCTTTTTTTTTTCTCTCAACTGTCCAGTGCAGGAAAAAGTTCTCACAAAATTTCACAGACCTAAAATGTGCAAGCTAGTTTCTCTCTATACAGCAATGATGTCAGGGATCTCTGAAATTAGCCCATAAATGGAATTATTTACACACATAGAAGATGCATGCTGGGGGGTTTTATGTAAGAAAGAGCAGAAAAACTTCTAATAAAAATAGATTAAATATATATATATATTTATACTGGGTAAGGAAACAGAAGTTTAGTCTCTCCTAGTCACAAACTCATTCTCTCTACTCACAACATTTGATTTTGGAACAGCACACATCACCATCACAGCTCTAGTGAGAAGCTATTTATAGGGTTGGGCATCGGGGGACGTGGCCACTTCCCATGGCCACAGCCACCCAAAGGGACTTCATGATTGGTCGCAGTCAAGTTTTCTGTATTCCTTAGTTTTAGAAAACCCAAAATCTTCAGGAATGGCTCAATATCAAAATGTACGTCTATCTGTTTGTACAATCTCACTTCAATAAAAAAAAAAAAAGGAAAAAAAGGAAAAAAAAAAAAGTAAAAACCTCCCCGAATTTGGTTCAATTCTGTTTGTTCTGAGCTGAGCCATCACAGCTGCACTAGAATTCATAAAACACGTGCAACTCTGGGTAAAATATTTTCTTCTAAAAGCACAACCACTTTACAAGATTAAAAGTCTAGTACATTTCTAAGTATTATTCATATTGTACAAGTAGTGGTTGTTAATTTAAAACTTCATTAGTAAAATTACAGTACGAGCATGATTAACCTCCAGAATTGCAAATCCCAGACTCCAGTGGAAAGCTACATTACATCTTCAGTAGTACGGGGCGCTCCGGTCACTCCCACACCAGCGGCGACGGCGGCATCTCGGAGGGCTGGGCGACCGTGGAGCTGCGCAGGACAGACAGACAGACAGACAGCTCAGTGCAGGGCCAGGGACACGGCCCCACTGCTCAGGGGAGCAAACACCCGGGACAGTGACACCCCAAACCCGACCGGGACAGCAACACCCCAAACCCGACCGGGACAGCGACAAACACCCCAAACCCGACCGGGACAGCGACACCCCAAACCCGACCGGGACAGCGACAAACACCCCAAACCCGACCGGGACCAAACACCCTAAACCCAACCAGGACAGCGACACCCCAAACCCGACCGGGACAGCGACACCCCAAACCCGACCGGGACAGCGACACCCCAAACCCGACCGGGACAGCAACAAGCACCCCAAACCCGACCGGGACAGCGACACCCCAAACCCGACCGGGACAGCGACACCCCAAACCCGACCGGGACAGCGACACCCCAAACCCGACCGGGACAGCGACACCCCAAACCCGACCGGGACAGCGACACCCCAAACCCAACCAGGACAGCGACACCCCAAACCCGACCGGGACAGCGACACCCCAAACCCGACCGGGACAGCGACACCCCAAACCCGACCGGGACCAAACACCCCAAACCCAACCGGGACCAAACACCCCAAACCCGACCGAGCCCGACAGCGGCCGCCAGCACCCGCAGCAAATATTCCTCTATCTGTGCATTTTCACCCTCAGCCCCTCCTTCCAACGCCTTCATCGTGCAGCTCCACAACCAAAACTCAACTTGCCAACCTTCCCAATTCCAGTTCCAGCCTGACTTCAGTTCTTTTGCATAAAAACATTACTTGAAACTTTTGCACGTTTTACTAAAATTCGAGAAGAATCCATAAATACAGTTCAAAAGGGTTTTATCTATGGGCCCTTCCTACTCACAGGAACTGAAAACCTAAAACACTCTGGATGTTTGAATTCTGTACTACTAATAATGGGAATTAATATCAGATGTGATTACATACAGTTACCTAATAAAGCTCTTAAAAGCAGCAGACTGAGGGTTGATGCAGAGAGGCACTCTGTTTCCTTTCTGCTGTTCCAAAATGAACTGATGAATTATTTCTGTACATAGGAGAAAAATACAAAACAACACAGCATTAACACTTCTGGGTTCAGTAAAATGGAATGTCAACTTGAGGGAAACAGAACTGCCCTTATGGAAAGTACATTTTAGTGAGGGTAAAAGAGCTCCAGCTTCTCTAAATCTGACTGCTCAGCTTCAGCTCCAGGCTGCAGGACAGCTGTGGACAGCCCCAAAGGCCACGCATGACTTCCCCTTCCCCCAGCACCATCCTTCAGCAAAAGGATGAGGGACACGGCACCAGGGATGGGCTCTGGTGAGGTTTGAAACCCACAGACTTCTGCAGGTCAGCTCATGCTTGTGCCACTGCCGGATCTCAGAACACTTACAATTCTGTTCTTTTGGTGAAAAGAAATTATTTCCAGGGTCTACTATGGAAAAATACCTAAAAGAAAGCAGCTCCAGGGTCACTGTGTGGATCCAGAGCACAAATCCCAACTCCATCCCAACTCCATCCCACATCCCCCCGCTGCAGGGTGGAGCAGGGGGACAACTGCACACACAAGGTTAACTCCTGCTCACCTTTAACCTGCCGAACAGAACTGAGGTTCTTCTCAAAAGTGTCATCGAATTTGGGATTAGTGATGGGCTCAAAATCACTGGTATAAACTCTGCCAGTCGAAGTGGAGAAACAACATTTGCACATACAGGTGTGGTACCGCAAGCGGCCCTCATCCAGGTAGGGGTGAGCTAAGGCATCCTTAGCAGATATCCTTTTGGACTGGGAACACGTGGAAAGGGAGAGAGCAGCAGTGAGGGTATGTTCACAGCCATTGGAACTACTCATCCATTGATCCTCAGTGTTTAATAAACCCATGCTGGTGTGTGAAAGGAGCTGCCACTAGAGGGGAGCTGAGGCTCACAAACCAGCCTGGGTGGCAGCGACCTCCCGCAGCCACCACTGATCACACAGCTTTCAGGAACATGCCTTTCAACAGCTTTTTTCTCCAGATAACCTTACAATTATGACTCCTGCAATAATCAAAACAAGCTGGGAAAAACAGCATTCTAAGTGTTGAGGGAGTCAGAAAGGAATTTTTTTTTTAATGTGGACGTTATGGTTCAACATTTCTATGGCTCTGTTCAGCAAAGCAATCTTAAGGTTTAAAAAAAATACACTCCAAAGGCAGTGCTTCTAAATGCTTCATCAACCCCCAGCCTCCTCCTTTGCACTGCAGTCACGCTGTTTTACATTTGAAATATTGGGGGGGTTCTGTGGGAATGAAATAATTAAGATTATCAATTCCAATATCATATTTTCCTGTAACAATTCTCTACAATGTCCCAAGAAACAAAATCCAAAATCCA